GGTTATAAAAGGCTCCCCCCCCCCCCAAGGAGGAGGTATGCTAACTCTCGCGCTATCTGGTTATTCTTGCCTCTAAAGGATTCTAACTTGAGCTTCGGAGCCCTTACGCTGGGTTCTCCCCGGAGCTTCTCTTCTCCCATTTCAGGTTCCTGTTACTCACTCCAGAGGCAAAATCGCCAACAGCTAAGACCGGCCAGATTGTGCATCATCAATTATCAATGCCATCTTTAGATTGAATGGATGGATTTAGCTGATAGGGAAGTTTAAGTTCAACCTCCATGTACGCCTTTATTGCTCAGTTGATGTTGATGAAATGAACAATGAGACCCATTTAATAAAGTGAATTACCTTTTGGGTGATTCAGTAAATTCGTCCTAATAAAGTTCTTTCATGGAAAGAAATAATTCGATTAGAAAAGAAAAAAAAACAAACCAACAAACATGTAATATCACGTGCAAATTTTTAAAACCCAATTATACCTTTTTAATGTCAGAACTTTGGTATCTTTAATAGAACCTAAGTGGGTTTGCAACTCTACAGGTACCAAGGGAAAACACTCCTCTGCCCTTAGTTTGGAAACAAATTAGTTGGAATGCTCTAAAATATGGTTATATTAAAAATGCTTCTCGTAATAGTGATGGAAAATGTTCAGTGGTCTGTATAGCCCGGGACTATCTTGATAATTAAGGTTCTAGCGGTCAAAGCATATAAACTTGGCACCTATTCCATCAGCCAAGCTAAAGCTTAGGCTGTATGAGAAGCCCATGTCCAAGCTGCAAACTACAGGGAGTTTCTTATCATCATAGAGGGAGATTGCCTCTTGTCATCTCTTACCTCAAAAAGAAAGATGGATATTCCTTGAAAGTAGAAAGATACTATCTCAAGTTACTTGCGGAGGAGAGATCTTCATTATCAACATATTTTAGAATCAGGTGGCTGACTAGCTGGCTCGGGAGGCTCTTTCTTTTTCTTCTTCTTCTCTAGATTTTAGTATCTCATCTCTTCCCTCTTTTCTTCTTCTTATTTGTTTTGCTAACTTTTGGGGACGTATGTGTAGTACAAATTACTCCTCTTTGCAGTAATTTACATTTTACAACTAGCCGTTTCATCGTTTGCCAAACTAGTGGCAATTGATTTTGCCGTGATAGGGTTAAAGGCACCAAACTAGAGAAATAACCTCTCCTATTTTGCTTAGAAAAGATTTTTAACCAAACTGGTTAACAAAAGTGGAACTTAAGTTTAGGGGCAAAATAGACTTTTTGTCCATTTTGCGGCATCCTGTTAGGAAATCTCGAATTTCAGAAAGTTTAAAAATAACTTAAGTAGGGTTTTAAACTTGAGGGATACTTTTAAGTAACTATCAGATAGTTTAGAGATAGTTTAAGTAATTATCCCTTAATGAACAATGCCGAAAAAGGTATGATAATATAAGAACTTTGTCTAATCAAAACCTGCACTAATTTAATGGATTAATTATAACTTTTATAATACATAATATATCAAGTTTGTTTAGGTATCTTGCCTTTCTAGTATTAGGGGTGATCATTTCAGCCCAACCCGAAAATCTCAGGCTTGGGCCTGGGTTTTGTGTTCAGACCCGGTTCAGGCTAGGGCCCACATCAGGCCCCCAAATTTTAGGGCCGGGTTTGGGCTTAATACTTCAAGCCCAGCCCAGCCTGCATATATTTGAACTTACACATTTTGTGTATAATGTATATATATTTTTACAAGTTATTTTGTATTATATTATATATTTTATATATAAATATTATAATATGACATAATATAAATTATAGATATAATATTTTAACATAAAATATTATATCATTTAACATGCTATGTCATTTAACATAAAATATTATATCATTTAACATGCTATGTCATTTAACATAAAATATTATAGATACAATATTTTATATATATAAAAGACATTGGCCCAGAATCAGGTCCAGCTCAGCTTGAGCCTGTATAGACCTAGGCTAGAGCTTAAGTTTCAGGCCCAGAACCCCATGTCGGGCTGGGCCCGGGCCTAAGCTATTGATGATAAGTGCAAAGCCCAGCCCGGCCCATGATCACCCCTACCCAGTATTATAGTTGGACTATTGAATGGAAGTTTTTATAGAGATCAATTAGGGGAGATTTAAGTATTGTTACAAAACACAAGGTGGAAAAGGTAATTTCTCCCTAAGATGCAAGTAATTTGTCAAATTCATGGGATGTGCGACTATATGAAGTAAGCTTTACGTGGCTGAGATTTATCGTAGCATTTGCCATTATATACACGTTGTCTTTTTAACAATATTAAATACTTTCATTGGGTCAGTAGTCACTACTTAACGTCGGCAGTTTCGTGTTAAGATTTTTATATTTCAAATTAGCTAGTAAATTACAGATTTCTTTTGCGATAAAGACCTCATAAAGATCTATCTTGTTCAATTTAATTCTGAGCTTTTATATTTGTTTTAATTCTGCGTTTTTATAGATTTTTTTTTCTTATTTTTTCATTACAATTTCCATTTTATAGAAATTTCTCAATAAATATTTTGATATATTAACTTTTTGCAACACTCAACTTAGCAGAAAGGGGGGGGGGGGGGGGGTCATTATTGGAATATGAAAAATTGAAACTTCACCACTATCCCAAAGTGATTATAATCATTTAATCAAAGAAAAATGTTTAATTAAATTAAATTAAATTAATTAAATTAAATCAAAGAAAAATGATAGGCTACCCCAATCCAGCACAGATCACTATATTAGACCAGTCCGGACAACATATATATTTATTGATTTATATTTTCAAGTGCACTTTGTTTGACTTGATGAACAGATTAAGGCTGTTTAAAGCTGATCATGAGCCTATTTAAGCCTCTTCAAATTGCCGAGAACATCTCAATTCTCAAGCTTGAGTACTCACTCATCAGTCAGTCATCATCTCTCTCACCACATGAGCAGCAACGACATGGAGCTGCTCTTCCTCTCTTTGCTTCTCCTGGTTGTTCTCTTCCTTTCTCTTTCTCTTCGTTACCTGGTCTACAAACACACCTCCCATGCACCCGGCAAAAAGCTCCCGCCGGGCCGGATGGGCCTGCCGTTCGTCGGCGAAAGTATCGAATTCTTTTCTCTGGGGCGGAAAGGTATCCCTGAGAAATTCTTCTTCGACCGGATGGCCAAGTTCTCCAAGGAAATCTTCAAGACTTCGTTGCTTGGCGAGAACACCGCAGTAGTCTGCGGCCCCAACGGGAACAAGTTCTTGTTCTCCAACGAGAACAAGCTTGTCACCGCCTGGTGGCCACGCTCCGTCGACAAGATATTCCCTTCTTCCACCCAGACCTCCTCCAAAGAGGAAGCCAAAAAGATGCGAAAATTGCTTCCCCAGTTCCTCAAACCCGAAGCACTGCATAGGTACATCGGGATCATGGACACAATCGCACAGAGACACTTCAAGGCCAGCTGGGATGACCGGGACGAGGTGACTGTGTTCCCGCTGGCCAAGCGCTTCACCTTCTGGTTGGCTTGCCGACTTTTCTTGAGCATCGAAGATCCCGATCACGTCGCTAAGTTCGCCGACCCGTTCAACGCCTTGGCGTCTGGTATCATTTCCATACCCATCAATCTTCCCGGGACACCATTCAACAAAGGAATCAAAGCTTCCAACGAGATCAGGAAGGAGCTTCTGGCTATCATCAAGCAACGAAAGATCGATCTGGCCGAGAACAGGGCCTCGCCCACGCAAGATATACTGTCTCACATGCTCCTCTACACCGACGAGGACGGCCAATTCATGAACGAAAGAGACATCGCCGATAAGATCTTGGGTTTACTCATCGGCGGCCACGACACGGCCAGCGCTGCCATTACTTTCGTCATGAAGTATCTCGCAGAGCTTCCTGAAATCTACAATGAAGTCTACAAAGGTAAGATCTATTCAGAATTCACTGAACTCAGACTCCAGTTCTCCACCCGTAAAAAATTTATTTCTTTTAATGAACCTTCAATCGTACGTCCGCTTCTTTCTGCTACGACTTAAAATGGTAAAAGCTCTGATGACGGATTCGGAGATCTCTTCAGTCAATTAATTATTTAGGCCTCGTTTGTTAACGGGTTTTAAATTTGGGTAAATTGCTGAAACCTCCTTTCAAGTTTTTTACTGTTGCTAGAAACTTTCAACAAGAGGCATACAAATGTCCCAAATACCCATACAGTTACTATTGAGGTTGGATTTTACAGAAAAAATCAATACAAACTTTATAAATAGTAAAAGAATAAGAGAATTTAAAGTTATATAGTTTTACCTTTGAATGGTTGATATAAAAGGTAAAGTTGGAAAAGAAATTGAAAGGTTTGAGGTACTGATTAATATGAAGAGAAAATTTAGAAAATAAGCATTTTGGTCTGCATGGATGTTTTGGACATTTTCTATCTCTTGTTAGAGCATTCTAATAGAGAGGGGGTCTACTTGCAATTGTATTAAAAAGTTCAAGGGAGATGATTGCAATTATCAAACTTCAGGGAGGTTGAAGTAATTTACCCTTTAAATTTTCATTTGCAATCTGATCTCATATAAAATTTGCATTTTTTTTTTGTTTCATTTATATCCATTGATAGTGCAAAACTTTGTATTTTACTAAACCTGTATTTGCACAGTACATATTTGTATTTGTATTCTTTCTAAACTGAGCCTTAGATGTATTTATATTGTGCGTATTTTGTATTTGTACTCTTTCCAAATCAAAAGGAGTACAAATACAAATATGTAGACATTGTATTTTGTATTATTTTGTATGTATTTACACTACGTATTCGTATTTGTACTCCTTCCAAACTGAGCCTAAAAACTGATTTAACTACCTTAATTTCTTTGCATATAAAGTTGAAATTATATCAATTTGCTTCCTATTTCCAAAAGAAATAACCTTCCTCTTCTTATCTCTTCCATATGACCATATCATTTTACATTCTATATTTCCCTTTGTTTTGGTAAATAGCCTTTTATTTTATCTATTAAAAGAAAATAGATCAATTAAGGTCAAATACTATGATTTATACTCTGTTAATTTGCACTCTTATCATTTATACCAATGCATGAAATTCGCTATGCAACCAAATAGAGCCTTAGGCTCAGTTTGGAAGGAGTACAAATATAAAATGTAGAGTGCAAAACGTTGCACTTTATAATATTTTTAATGTATTTGTATTACATATATTTGTATTTACACACTTTCCAAACTGAGCCTTAGGATATTTGAATTGTTAGTTGATACTTTCTCACCTTTTGATTGCAGAAAATTAAAGAGCTTGCCATAATTAGTTAAGTACACAAACAAATTGGGCTTCAGGAAATGTTCAAGTTTTTTTTTTTTTTCCTAAGGCTATGACTGATTTGATGGAAATAAGAGAAAAATAGAAAGTTAAAAGAAAATCCTTTAACAAACTTCTAAATTTCCTTATTTAGTTCCAGTGCAAATTTATTTGCACTAGTACAAATAAATGCATGGGAGTGCAAATGTAAAAGATGCAAATTCTTGTTTAATTTTGTTTTGGATTTTACTTTATTCTATTTCGTGTCTTAATTTACTTCATTTGTACTGCCATTAAATAAAGTAGGCTAAAATTTGAAACAAAAATAGGTCAGAATTTATACTCAAATCATTTGCACTGCCATAATTTTACATCAGTGCAAATTTATTTGCATTGCAACCAAACACAGTCTTAAGAGTTTTTTCTCAAATTGTTGTTTCTCCTTTATTTATTGAAAATAGACAAGCCTTTACTGAACTGGGAATTGAATTTGATTGATAGATTCTGTCATTAAATCAATGGATTAGTTAAAGTAATCGCAAGGAGGCCCTTTACGCAGCATTTCCCATCCCCATGAAAGTTAAATGGAATGGTTAATGATTTGAAAAATGAGTTCATGAGTTGTAAAGTCTAAATCAGTTTGTTCTTTATTGGGTCGCAGAGCAAATGGAGATCTCAAAGTCTAAACCCCCCGGCGAGAGGTTGAATTGGGATGACTTGCAGAAGATGAGGTACTCATGGAATGTGGCAAGTGAAGTGATGAGACTTGCACCACCCCTTCAGGGAGCTTTCAGAGAGGCCCTTATGGATTTCACCTTTCAAGGTTTCTCCGTTCCAAAGGGATGGAAGGTAAATAAACTAATAAGCTTGCATTCTGATTTATTATTTCTGAATGAATTACTCTATGGCTGTCAATGGTCGGGTCTGGTTTGGAATAGGGTGCACCAGTTTCGAACCTCGTTCCATAATATTAGGCCCAGAACTGGAACCAGTTATTAATCGGGATAATTGGGTCGATTATACTGTATTGATAAAACATGTAATTTTAACCAAAATTATCTTATATACTGTCTATAAAATTTATGACTTAAATATAAAAGGAGTGTTCTTTTTTCAGATTTTGAGAGGGTGGAAAGTTGTTTCCCATTGACCAAGAATTTCATGTTTTTTTTTCAGATTTATGTGGGGATTAGGGAAAATTTATTTTCGTAAATAACTTTCCCACCTAGGGGGAAAATTGCTAACACTTAAATGGGACAAAAATGTCATTTTTAATAATAGATTTTTATGATTAAAATGGTCATTACCTTATTTACATGAGAAATAAAAGAACATGGATAAATACACTTACCCGGGTAAGTGTTTCTTAAGAAAAATTTACCTAGGTAATTGCAGATGGGCTACTCCTGTTGTGTAGACCCATGACACAAAAAATGAAAATTGAATAAAAAAGGGGTTTTAATTGATTGAAAACGACAGATCTAATCTTGATCCAATTATTAATCGAGACAAGATCATAAAACCAAAACCGGTATAATTGATTAAATCAGCTCTCTTAGCTAGTAGTGATGATCGTAATGAATTTGGTTGCAGTTATACTGGGCTGCCAATTCCACACACAGGAATCCAGAGTACTTCCCGGAGCCTGAGAAGTTTGACCCATCGAGGTTCGATGGAAGTGGACCAGCTCCTTATACATATGTTCCATTCGGAGGAGGACCCAGAATGTGCCCAGGGAAAGAGTATGCTCGATTAGAAATACTTGTGTTCATGCACAATGTGGTGAAGAGGTTCAAGTGGGACAAAATTCTGCCTAACGAGAAGATCATCGTCGACCCAATGCCAATGCCTGCCCAAGGACTTCCCATCCGCCTTCACGCTCACAAAGCTTAAGTTGGTGAAGAGGATGCCGATCGAGCTTTGTATTTCTTTGTTTTCTTTCTGAAATGTTTGTACTTGTTGCCTATCCTTAATAGGGCAAAGTCTGTATTGTCTAGTTTTTGTTTTCTTTTCTTGTGGGGAATACTGATGAGTGTACAATAAATAAAATGAAATAAAAGATCACATGCAAGTAGTCTAACTCCCTGTTTGTATTTTAATCAAACAGTCAAAGAGAAAACATCCCAAGCTGGTATCTCCGGTTACAACTTATTAAATTCTTTGGTGCGTTGGGCAAGGGGGACTTTGCCTGCAAACACTCTCAAAGAAAGTTAATCTTCAGACACTCTCAAAGTCAAAGAGCAAATAGTAATCTTCAGACACTCTCAAAGCAAGTGAATCCAGCTGCAAATTTGGAACATGTGTGGGAGATATTTCCAATGTTTTGCTAGATGATGTGTGAACAAAGTATTTAATTGTAGGAGATATGACCCTTGCTCACTTAATACGCAATGGGATTTGCTACAAGCAAAAACTCTGCACACCTTGTAAAAGTATATATGTGCGTCCAACTACTACACATTCAGGAAAATCTCCCCATGAATTTAACATACATACATGAGATATTCCCAATATGCAGATGGACGCTATGTGAGTGAAGTTTTTGCTTGCAGGAGGTCTAGGCTCACTTAGTGCCTGTTTGCAACCAATGCCATTTCCCCATGGCCATTATGTTAGAAAATGATGTTGCAATGGTCTATCATTTTCTGAGAAAATGGCATTATTTGTTGTTTGGTTCCATTGCTACCACTTGAGGCATTTTTCAATGCCACATCAACAAATTGTTGCTAGCAATGGTATGAAATGAGAAAACGTGAAAAAACGCTTTCTTAGACCACCACCCAGATCGATGGAGCTGCCCATTACCACCAGCCCCTCCCCCTTGTGCCTGTAGCAAAAGTGAAGTTATTATGATCATGAACAGGCTGGTGGAAGATCGTGTAATCAGCTTGCCACCACCACCACCCAGAGTTGACCCTGAGAAAGAAAGGCACAAGGGGGTGAGGGGGGGGGTGCAACTACGACCAGTCACTGAACCATGATTTAATGGACTGTTTTACCCTCTGACAACTTTTCGTGCAAAAAGTAAAGTTAGATGAATTTGTCAAGAGGAAGCCGATTCAAGTAGAGACCAACCCCCTCCCTGCACATCCCTAAGGGGGTAGTATAAATGTGGTAGGAACGCCAGGGGGTAACCATCCAGACATGCTGATCCAGTGGTTCGAGCAAAGCCCAGATTTGCAACAGTTCCTCAGTGAGCAGGGAGCTAGTGCCACGATGCGATGACTTGCCATCAAGGGAGGCCACTCAAACCTCATTGCATGGACAAGTCCCACATAGAGTTTGCCCTGAACGACATGCTAGCCATAGACCCCCACCAAAACTGGCTTCTGTACATCATGGCCAAAATAGGGGGATATGAGATGTAGTGCTCGTTGATTGATCAGGGAAGCTCCATAAATTTGACTTCCCTCCAGACCCTGTAGCTCATGAACATACAAAAGTAGATCGTTAAAGGGTTGCCCATGGAAGTCACGAACTTTAATGGGAATGCGTCTGTCATAGAGGGGTCAATTGAGTTGCCGGTGGCTTTTGGGCCATTCTACATCAACCAAGAGTTCCAAGTGATTTATGGAAGAATGGCATATCACGCCTTGTTGGGGCAACTTGTGATACATGGCTTGGCACCGGTCCCATCCACATATCACCGATGCATAAATGCCAAGCATAGAGGCCGCATTGTCAAGATCCCAGCCACTTGCGTCCCATTCGACAGAATAGAGACCCACCTTTAGGGCGCAATATATTACATGAAGCTTGCTAAGGAAGGAGAGACTAGAGTGGCCAAGGTGGAAACTGTCCGATTGCCGAACCCAGCAAGTGAGCCTCCAACAGCCCCAGAAAGAAAGAAATGGTCCAGGTGTGTATGGGTGACAGATGAGAACGGGGAAAGCTACTACACAATCGTAGAGTATAAAGACGTCGACATACCGGCCACAAAGAAATCCATCCAAGAGGTATGAATTATTTTATTATTGCATTATGATATAGCTTTCAAAAATTGGTCAATCATTGTAATCTACATGTTTTCACAAAAAGAAAAGAAAATTGCACATACTATAAATCTTATCTCAATCAAAATTACTACACCACTGTGGAATTTCCGTGCAAGGATATTGCGATGATCTCATCACAAGAAGACTCTGAATAGACAAAAGAAAACTCAACAACCTTGAAGTACAATATAAAATACTTAAACATACAAATAGCAATAAGAAAAATACTGAAACTATGTTAGTAACAGGAACACAACAAAGACATTGTGGAATATTATGATGAAAACTACGCAACCCCGAGTCACATGCAAGACTCCAATGGCGCTGTGGAAGAACCCCTAAAAGAAATTAATATGGCCACTGAAGGAGTAGAGAAAAGGTCGTTGTATGTGTCGGCCATATTAGAACCTGAACAAATAAAGAAGTTGTTGTATCTCTTAGGAGGTATAAAGACTTTCTTTTCTCCAATCGCAAAACTAGAATACATGTCAAATACAAATAAACTTTCTTTTTCTCTCATATCGACAAAATTCTAGGATGTGTTTGCCTGGTCGTACGATCAAATGCTTGGATTGGACTTAGCACTAGTCAAGCACTCGCTCTGCATCGATCCTAAGTTCAAACCTAAGAAACAACCACAGAGAGTTTTCAAGCCAGAGATAGCCTTGAAGATCAAAAGGGAGGTTGGACGACTCCTGAAGTGGGTTTCATCAAACCAATTGCTTACATACAATGGTTAGCCAATGTGGTCCCAATCAAAAAGAAAGATGGTCAACTAAGGTTAGTACCCAGATCCTAATAGATTAGCTCATGAATATCAGTAAAGGACTAGTGCACTAACTTTTTCCACCCCTACCTTAGGTGTTGCGTCGACTTTAGGGACCTAAGTGGGGCCTGCCCCAAAGATGAATTCCCATTGCTGAACATGGATATTCTTATTGATGCCAGGAACCAGTTGTTCTCCTCCTTAGATGCATACAATGGTTACAATCAAATATACATGGACCTTGTAGATGCACTGGTGTGTCTGGAAGCGCGTCGTTAAACACCCCAGAACACCAGTTTAAACGTTTATAATTTTTACCGTTTCTCAAACAACTACTAACGTAGTAAATTTGTGAGAACGGGTCGTATCCACAGGGAAGCAAATGAAAAATTAATATATAATTAGATCCAGACAAGATAATGCAATCGGGAATGACAGAAAATACGAAAATAAAATCTATTATTGTTGAAATTAAATGTTCAGAATTTAATGAAGTATGGGAATCAATAAAAGAAATAAAAGAAATAAACAAAGTTGATCTAGAATTCGGATCCGGTGGTGGTAGCTGCAGATTGGCCAGAAAACTTGGAGAAACCCCTTCTGACAAGAATCAGGCGTTTGTCCTTTCTACAACCCTCGAACCACTCGAGACACCTTAGCCTTGAACCAAACGAATTCAAATCTGCAAAGTAGAGAAACGAACAAGAAATAAATAGAAAAGATTGTAGAAATAAAAATAACAAAAAAGAAAATAAAGAAAAGAAAAGAATGGTTGATAAGATCCAGTGGCGGTAGTGGTAGAATGGTTAAACAGCTTGCAGGAACCCCTATTGACAAGAACTGGGCGTCCTCCCTTTCTACAACCCTTGAACTCCTCAATAAACCTTAGCCTTATTAATTGGGTGAATTGACCAACCCCTTCTACAGGGCCTCTGGGGTCCTTTTTATAGAGAAGGGTGGACACAATTGGGAATAGAGAGAAAGAGGGGGGCGGCAACTGGGTTTTAGCAAAAATATGGGTGCCCTAGGGTTTAGAATGAAGGGTTAGTATGGTTCTAGGGTGATCCTAAGGCTGAGAATAAAAGGAGAAGGCACCCAATATTATGTGAAGCTGGGATTTAATGGCTAAAGGCTGAATGGTGAAGATTATAAGCTAGGTGGCTCCTAGGTTTAGAGTGCTAAAAAGAGAGTGCCCTAGAATAATGGTGGAGATTAGAAGTGACGGAAGGTGACGATTTAGCAGCTAAGGGCGGATAAGGTTTGTTAAGAGTGAAAAGAATGGGTTAAAAGATGCTCTAGGGTTTGCTAAGGTGTGGGGAGCATGCTAATACAGTAGGAGGGGCGCCAAACTGGGTTTAGCAGTTAGGAGGCGCCCTCCTGCTTCCAGTTTTTTACAAAAACATCCCCTCTCTCAACTGAACTTCACACTAGCTTCCCAAAATCTACATTTCAACCATGAAAACTTCCCAGTTTTCCCCAAAATTTGCATAGAGACCCTCAGAGGTCACAATAACGAATTTAGCTGGGAAAAGGGCATACTTTGACTATTTTAAGGCTAAAAATACCCCTGAAATGATGCCCTTAAGGCATTAAAATGTAGAGTTATCACATCCCCAACTTAACCATTGATAGTCCTTTAGCAATGCAGCCTTAAAATTACACTGATCATAGAGATCCTTCCCATCTCAAGATCATCCCTAATAGAATTAGTCTAGCACCCTGATTCTAGAATTCTCAAACTCTATATAGATCAGTATTGGGCTTAAGGGGTAAAACTGTCTTACTTTGAATATTACAGAAACTTGGCTTAAAAATTTTATTTACCCTTCCATTTGCAGACTGTCTTGATAAGCTGAGATTGATTTTTAAAATCAGACATGTATTCTTATTATCACTTTTGAAAGCGGATTTCTACCCCTGAACTTAATATGCATACTTATTTTTTGTTACCTTCCACCATTTTTATGTGAATCTCAATACTTGCCTTAGGTGAAGAGACCCGGTTACTAAGTGTTAGGTGATTGTCTTTGGCATTTCCTTTTCCGTTTGACGCGAATCTCAACACTTGACTTAGGTGAAGAGACCCAATTACTAAGTCTAGGGTGTCCATTGACCTTTTATTCTCTTTTTCTTTTTTATTTTTTTTTGTAATACTGTGTTCAGGGTATTCCACTATTTCTAACAATTTGAAGAATTTTTGTCTAATTTCTCCATCTTTCTCTTCTTATCTTGGCAAGGGCAAACTTGGGAGTATTTTCCAATTTCTAAACGGTTTCGACAATATTCAAATAAGACCAATTTTAAATCCTATCACTTGCTACCAATTTCTACAAAATTCAATATTC